GAAAGGTCGGACACAGGCGAGAGCGTATCGGGAGATGGAGACCAACAAGACCTCCCTCATCCTTGGCCCTATTTCAAACAATTTTTAGAAATAGTTGAAAAATTGAGCTTTCAATTCATATAGTGGCATCTGGCTGTTTATTTTTAAAGGTTACTTTATACTTTTATACTTTAAGTAGTTTTTGGAGTAGATACTTTTTCACTTACTTGAGTAAAGAGGTCAGGTTGATACTTTTACCATTTTTTTTTTAAACTGTAGTATCTATACTTCTACTTAAGTAACAATTACATGTACTTTTGACACCACTGCAACTAAGGGACCCCAAGAACAACTTTTTGTTTGCTTATTTTTGCATTTCCAAGGATTTCTATATAAATATTGTAACAAAACACAGGTACATTTTATACATGGAGGAAAAAAATATTTTATTTTTGGTCAGAATCAGATAAGATCCAATGTAAACTTAGAGAAACTTGTTTTTTTTTGTTTTTGCACTATAGGTTAGTTGTACACATTTCTGTTACTGTTGTAACCAAAACGTATAAACCAAAAACAGTAAATAAACTTTTTGTTTATCATTTTCAGCAACACTGAAAATGGACACAAATAGGAAGATGTAAAAAGCACTGTCAGAGCTGCAATGCGTTTATAGCAGTGTGTAAGGATTCCAGCAATAGATATTAGCAGATATAGGGGGGGCCAAAATCACATTTTGCCTAGAGCCCCATGGACATTTGTACCGGCCCTGGTGACCAATATAGATTTATCTAAAACCGACTATTTAAGGCACATCTGTATGAAGCCTGGACTTTTCTTTCTTTTTCCTTTTATAAAATCATTCACTGTATTGATAACTGGTTTATGGAGCCCGTTTCCAACAAAGGCAAATATCAAACGTCTTCCAGAAGGTTTAGACGAGGTGTTCAGAGTTAAATCAGAGCCGGAGGATTCACTCTAACAGGCTCCATGCACAAGTCCACTACTTCCTGAAGTTAAGGAAGCTCTTTAGTTAATCCAGGTGTGCATAACCTCAGTAACCATGACCAGACACACCTGGATTAATCAGTTCATCCAGTAATGGAAGACAGGAAACAAAATAGCTGCCTAAAGTTCAAATAGTAGTGGAGTTGTGCAGTCCTCCCAAAGTTGTTCTATGCATGGACGGTTCTAGACAGGGGCCAACGGGGGCCCCTGTAGATCATGCGCTGGCCCCTGTTATGTACCCCTGTACCGAAGACAAAATACTAAAAGAAATTCTAATGATGATATGCCACAATGTTTGCATAAAATTACCACAAATCTCCTGAATAAATCAGGAAATAAAACAACGTGATTGGCTCTAAGGAGAGCGGAGACGGAGGACACTCTGAGTTTACTGAAAAAAACGTGCTCACGACCAGCTTAGCAGTGGGAGAATGTTACTATGGCAACAGAAACAGGTTGAGGAAACTCTCT